GGGGATTGAACCGCAGTCCCTGTGCTTTGCTAAGCTTGTTCTAAGTAGGTGCTTTAGACCACTGAGCCATCTCACCAGCCCATGCTCATTCTCTTTAAAACTTTTAAAAAGTACTGAATTTGAAGTGCGAGTTTTGCCTTTTTCTTGCCAAGCCCTTCATGAGGTACTAGAGATGCTTTGTGGAACTAATAGCCATTTATACAATGTTTGTGATAAGGACTGAAGAACAGTGGCGCGAGTCTGCGGCCTCACTCGCGTGGTGTAAACAGCAGAAGCTTCTTAGAGCAGGAGACGATGTCATGTTGGGAGCCAGATAAGTGCTAGAGAAGGTGTATGTGGAGAAACTGTTGCCCCATGTCGTGAAGCAGGCTGACAGTTTTGCACCGAGGTGCACACCGAGGGACCCCAAACTATTCGTTCACACGGAAATTATGCGCAGTTTTTCACAGCATCGTTACTCAGGTTTGCTGCACAGGTAGAAATAGCCCAGATGTCCACCAGTAGATGAGTAGACAGCTCAAATACATGTACCCACTTATGCAGTGGAACATTATTTGTTCATAAGGGGAATGAAGTGCTGACATTCACCACGACATGGAGGAAACCAGAAAACATTGTGCCAAGCAACAGAAGCCAGACACGAAATCACCACCTGTTTCCTGATGGCATTGTTAGGAAATACTCAGAAGAGGCACCCGTAGAGGTCGACAGCGGCTTAGTGGGGCTGATGGCTGGAGAGGCGGGGAAGGTGCCAGTGGGCACAGGTACCGCTGCTGAAAACCTTCTGGGATTGATGGTGGCACTTGCCTCGCTCTGTAAATGTGGCTTTAAAAAAGTGCTTGAGACCTAATCTTTAAATCTGCACTGTATCCACTAAGAAAAGACAGCCCCAGTTAAGGAGATGGGTTGGCTTCTCATGTGCAAACTGTGTCCCGCATCAAGGGACAAGGCCAGGTGTCCCCCCTTGTCTTTATGGTATTAATTTTTTTTTAGTAGAAATTTTTTTTATTAATTTTATTGAGAAACAAATAGCAATGAGACAGTTTCAAAACTGATTAGTAGGGCAGTTTCAATAATTAATACATTGCATATTGTTCAGTTGCCCCCTTCTGTAAGATAATTTTACCTCCTCACTCTCCGCTTTCTTTTCCTTCTGTTGATGCAGAACAATTTCTCACTTGCCATGAAGCTGCTGAAGGAGCTGCATAAGGAGTCGAAGACGAGAGCCGACTGGCAGGGCAAGTGGGTGCAGAGCTACTGCCGGCTGAGCCACCGCCGGAGCCAGGCCCGCAGCGCCCCGGAGCGGGTCCTCACCGTGCTGAAAACGGTCTCCCTGTTGGGTAAGTAGGCTGCCCATGGCGTGTGGCGACTCGTGTGCCCGCGCGAGCGGCCCCGTGCTGCTCTCCGACCTGTGGGAGTTAAGCCCAGGCGGTCACCGTGGCCCGTGCGGGCGGGGGCCAGGGAGCGTGGCGTCATCTCCTTGGGCAGAGCGTGAAAGATTGGGGACCAGGAAATTCAGTATATTAGCAGCGCCCAGCATGACATCTGGAACTTTTATTTATCAAATAAAATAGAAATGAATTTTTCTCTTCAATACTTAACCAAATTGTAGGTCTAGTAGTTTTGTAAACTTCAAATTTACAGATACGGTGTCAACATTAAACATATAGGACCTTTTTCCTCTGTAGTTCTTTTCAAGATAATAAACCTTTAAGCCTGAGGGAGAAATCTTCCGTGGTTTGGGTTGGATCTGACACTCCTGCCCTGCTGCTGTGCCCAGAGGGGCGTGGCTGCGCCACAGCAGGGCTGCCACAGCCGAGTACCCCGCCAGGGAAAGGGCGAGTGCTCCTCCTAGGTGACCGCAGGAGGTCAGCCTGCCAGTGCTTGCGTCACTGCAGGGGCTGCTAGTGGGGAGAGCTGGAGGGAGGAGAAGGCGTGTTACTCAGTGGCCCGAGCACCACCAGAGTAACAGCAGTGCGTGGCCAGTGACAGCCGCCCTGCAGCTGGCCGGGCTGGAGTGTATGACGGCGTCCAAGCTCGGCAGCCCAGTGAGCCCGCCGGCCTGAGCAGGGGCGGCCGTGCGGGGCTGCCGCATGTGCGCCGTGGTGGCCCTCCTATGCCTGCGCCCCTCGGCCAGCCCCACGGTGGGACAGGGACGGCAAACACAGTCGGGGCTTTAGCAGCCAGTCGATATTTTTAAAATCTGCACTGGATTATTGATATATATGTACAAATATCTTAGGTCATTTTCTGTTTTTTTTGTGACAGAATTTGGCACTTTGAAAAAATGTGGAATGATGATATGTAAATAAAAAGTTTTTAGTTTCAATAGCTTAGCTTTTGCAAACTTTTAATACAGTTGCTTCTAACAAAAACTTTTCATTAGGAAGCATGTTCGAGAAATGCTTGAACCAATACTTGGAGCCAGCTGCTTCTTCTAAGATTTATTTTACTTTCTTGATGGAAAACAACTTTTCTACATGGTGAATTTTCTCTTTGTAATTTATATTTGTTTACTTCAGAAAAAATTTTATTTTTATTCTAGCAGATGAGACCACCACCTCCGGTTGCTTAAACAAAAATAGCCTGGCTTCCTGTGATCAGAACACTCTCTTGGGCACAACTTTCAGGATCATGGCTGACGCACTCAGCAGTGACCCCAGCTGCCTGGCTGACCTGGAAGAGGGCAGGGCGCAGCAGGTCCTGGAGCTTGCTGGGGCTCACACACAGGGCACAGAGAAGGTAGAGAAGGTAGCGAGCACTGGGAGGACGGTGTCGCGAGGGTGCCTGCCTGCCTGCCTGCCTGCCTGCCTGCCTGTCTGTCTTTCTGTCTTTCGTGGGCAGCTTTCAGGCTCTGAAAAAGAACAATGAGGGTGTCACTTTTTTTTTTAATATATTTGACAGTTACGCACAGCCAAGTTTCTTAATGTGGAAAATTGACATACTGCATATTTCCTGTTTATTTGAATGATAAACATTTTTTTAAGCTTAATAATGAGAAATTTTTATTGGATTGATGTGGATACTTCTGCCATGGATTTTTTTTTAATGAAATTTCACCACAGTTGCTGTTTAAACATTCCTGACAGCTTGTGGAACAAAACCGCCCTTTCCACCCCTTGCCCAGCGCCCTTCACCTCCCCGCTTCTCCTGGCTCAGGGTGTCCTGCCCCACTGCAGTTTTGAGGCCTCCTTTCCCCACGCTGTCTCTGACATCGGCGCGGGCCTGTGCCTGAGGGTTCCTCACAGCGCCTCGTAACCTCCGCGACCTGCTCGAGCTGTGGCTGGCTCAGACTGTCTGGCCGACACTTAGCATGACGTGGCTATTTTTCCGGGTGGATTTTCCATCCTTAGGATCTTAGTAGGGTGACTTACTTCCTCACAGCCAGGGCAGACTCTCCTACTTCCTGGTGACAGTTTTGGGTGTTACTTGTTGGTCTCCCCATGTTACCCAGACCGTCCTCCAGCTCATCGGCTCAAGTGGTTCTCTTGCCTCGTGCTCCTGCATGTTAGGCTTACAGGCGTGTGCTGCCGCACCTAGGCTGTTGGTGTCGTGTTGGCGCTGTCGGTATAGGTATCCATCCTGTGGATTGCAGGTAACTTCGGGCCTGTACCAGAGAGCGTTCTTGCACCTCTCCAGAGCCGTGCAGACTGCTGAGGATGCCCAGCCTTCCTGCCAGGACCACGAGCCTGCAGCTGGTGTGGTCGACGCTTATATGACGCTAGTGGATTTCTGTGACCAGCAACTCCGCAGGGCAGAAGAAAGTGCATCGGGTGAATCAAAAGAGACAAAAACAAGTTAGTGTTCCATTATGTCAGCATAAACCCGGAACAATCTTGTGAATGCTTTTGGTTTTCTGTTTGTTTTCAAATGCAGATATTGAGAGAAGGTCTGATTTCTTCAGAAACGATGGTATCTCCCCCAGCACAGCTTGCGTTTATTTAGTTTTTATTTATTTGTGTGTGTGTGTCAGTGGCCAGCTCAGCCCACCAGGGGGCGGGGCTGGCTGGCATGTGGTGCTGGGGGATTGAACCGCGGTCCCTGTGCTTTGCTAAGCTTGTTCTAAGTAGGTGCTTTAGACCACTGAGCCATCTCACCAGCCCCACAGCTTGTGTTTAGATGGAGTCGAGCTTCTGGCTGATTGCACGTGCCTCACTCATTTGCTTGCAGCGTGGGCTTGGCTCGGGTTGCCTGCAGCTTGCTTCTGGAGCAGTGCACACGCCCATAGCTGCCCCTCCGTTCTCAGGCCAGGGTGCAGTTGTGCATGTGCAGAATGTGCATATATGTATGTGGACAGAAGGATGATACTCCAAGATACAAGCTCAAAAAAATGTTTCTGGTGTTGATCTAACGTGATTGTACAGAAACGTGGCATAGTGGTGCGTGCCTTTAATCCCAGTGTCTGGGAGGCTGAGATGGGAGCGCTGCAAGTTTAAGCCTAGCCTGGGGAACAAGACCCTGTCCCAACACGAAATGAGATGATGGGCTGGGAATGTAGGCAGCTCAGCGCAAAGGTGCCAGGTGCAGGCCTCAGTACCTGCTCCCCAAGTTATAAAGAAGTGGCCACTGAAAAGAGCAGTGACATACTAAAAAATACAAGCCAAAGAGGGACAAAATAATGCATGTTACAATAATAGTGGGTGTGTAAGTGCGTGTGTTGACCACTGTCTTCCTTTTTGCTTTCCTTGGTAGTTCCTGATTCTGTAGAACTGCAGGTATATCCAGCGCTTGTGGTGGAGAAAATGTTGAAAGCTTTAAAATTAAATTCCACTGATGCCAGGCTGAAGTTTCCTAGATTACTTCAGATTCTAGAACAGTATCCAGAGAAGACTTTGAGTCTAATGACAAAAGAGGTTGGTATGTTTGTTTTGTGAGTAGACGAGAACTCTGTAGGACTAAAAGACACACCCTTATTCCAGCGTATTGGTGCGGACAGTGCCCTGTTGCTTCCAGCTAGTGTTGAATTCTGCTACATTCTAGAAGCAGTACATTTCAAACAGTTTGAACGAGTTGAGCTCTACTCATTTTCCTCTCTGGTGGTGATAAGGATGCTGGATCTGAGTAGGGAGCCAAAGAGCTCGGGCAGAGGCGTGTCAGGCCACGTGGGCACTGTGTGGAGGCTTGTGGCCGAGACAGAGGAAGCGGCAGTCTGCGGCGCGTACCAGGCCTTGTGCTCAGCTGCTGCTTAGCCTGGAGAGAACCACCGAGCTTCAGCTTGCACTGCCCGTGCTGCGGACCTAGACCTGCGGGCAGCGCCGTGTCCAGTGAGGCCCAAAGGCTTGTGGTTGGGAGTGAGAGGCTGCGTGTGGGCGCAGAGCAGCCTGCACCTTGCCCCGCCCCGCACTGTGCTCCTCGGCCTACCTGGAACTGTGCCTGCTGGCCGTGCCCCGTCATGTGGGCACCGTCTGTGTGCATGGAAGACTCCATCTGTAGAAGTGTGGAGCCATCTGACAGGTTCCTTAAGATTTGTGTGCATAGGCCAGAGAGTAGCTCAGTGGCATAAGCGCCGGGCAAGCATAAGGTCCTGGTTCGATCTTGGTACCAAAAAAAGATTTGTGGGGCTGGGGATTTGGCTCAGCAGTAGAATGCTTGCCTAGCAAGCTGGAAGCCCTGCGTTTGGTCCTCGGCACCAAAAACAAAAAATAGACCTCTCCTAAAAAACAGTTCAACCAAAAAAAATACAGTAAAATCAAAAAATACCAAAAACAAACAAGGCAACTACAAAAAAAGATTCATGTGCACGCATAACTGGCAAGGGCCAGGGGGGCTTTGATTTGAAAGTGTAAGTTCAGAAAAGGGTTATCAAGGAGCCCTTAGCTTTATGCAGTGAAGCTTCACACGGCGCTGGTCTCTGAGCGGAGGCTACAGTGTGATCGTCAGGGTCTGCTGTACCGTCTCCTTGCTGTGGATTCCTCTGGGAGGTTTGAGGATGAATTGAGAAATGTAGCATATATGTGTTTTTCTTAAGGATAAGTGAACTAGCAGTTAAAAAACTGTTACGATTTTGGTTGTTCCCAAAATAGTATTATACATGATAAAAATAACATTTTGAGGTTGTGAAGAAATGAATGGCTGGCTGTCAGGCAGTGCTGTTGTGTCACTTGGTGGACACTTGCTGAGGAGCAGCCACGTCTGCCTGCGCCAGCCAGCTGTCACCCCCACGCTTGCTGCCCCATTCTCAGCTTATGGAGGAAGCCAGGAAGCTTGCCCAGCTCCTCTGTGTGCCAGTGATTTCAGTACTTCACACCTACCTTGAAAATAACACCTGAAAAACATTAGAAGAAAACATGAACACAGTTTTTAAAAACTATCTCAGAGCTAGAGACAAAAACCAGAAGCCAAAAGGAAAATAATTTGACAGTTCTGTACACAAAAATCCACCACATGCCATATGCGAAGTTAAAAAATAAAAAACTGAAAGAAATACACTTGCAACACACGGAACAAAGGGCTGACGTCTCCAGTTTCTAAAATAAATGGTCACAGTAGATCAGCAGAAAATGGTCAGAGGACATGCACGCATAATTAAAATACATAAGGCAAATGGATGTGGATTATTTGGGCTCACTAATAATGAAAATTTAAACATTGCTTACTTCTCAGATTAATAATGTTTTGGATGAAATTTCATTGTGTCTAGTGTTCGTGAGAATTGTGGAAAATATTTAGCATAATACTTTTAGAAATGAAAACTTCACGCAGTGCATCTGACAACTGATAATGTTTACACTAACTTTGCTCCTGGAAGTTTGTCCCCTACACGTATAACACCAGCACAGACTTGACTGAAACGATCTCCATTGTAACATTACTGTAATAGCAAAAATTGGAAAACATCCAAAGCGTTCATTATAAAATGGAATCCTACTATACAGCTGTCAAAAGGAATGAGGTAAGTCCTTCTAAGAAAAGCCACAGTGTCTGGTGTGACTCTGTTCTTGTAAACAGAGTGCGTGTTCGCAGCAAGCACAGGAAATGTCTAGAAGGACGCAGCTGTTGCATTTCAAGGAACAAGCTGTTACTTTTTTGTATCAGCCGTGCGCGGTACCTTTATGGCGAGGCTGCCTTGTGCTGCTCCTTAGTAAGTGCCAGCTCTCTGTTCTAGATCTCCTCCATTCCCTGCTGGCAGTTCATCGGCTGGATCAGCCACATGGTCGCTTTGCTGGACAAAGAGGAAGCCAGTGCTGTGCAGCGCCCGGTGGCAGAGCTCGCCGAGAGCTACCCGCAGGCCATCATCTACCCTTTCATCATAAGCAGCGAGAGCTTTTCCTTCCAAGACACTTCGGCTGGTCGTGAGAATCAGGAGTTTGTGGCAAGGTGATAGGAGAGAAAAACTAGGTGAAGGGGATTTTACCCAGTGTAAAAAAAAAATGTGTGGGGCTGGTGAGATGGCTCAGTGGTCTAAAGCACCCACTTAGAACAAGCTTAGCAAAGCACAGGGACCGCGGTTCAATCCCCCAGCACCACATGCCAGCCAGCCCGCCCCCTGGTGGGCTAAGCTGGCCACACACACACACACACACAAATTAAATAAATAAATTTAAAAAAAAATGTGTGTGTAAAAGCAGGTCCGAGGGCTGATGAGATGGCTCAGTAGAATAAGCGCTTGCCTGGCAAGCTCAAGGTCCTGAGTTCAATCCCCAGTACTGCAAATAAATAAGTAAAATAATAATAATAAAATAAAAAATAAAAGCAGCTCCAGGTAGCTTCCACTTGTCTTCAGTTAGCTTCAGGTTGTCCTTGAAGCTTAGAAAGTTCTAGGCATCTGTCCAAATGCGTCTTTTCTGGGCATGATACTCATTGAATTTCTCTGCTTTCTTTAAGTTGATTGGTACATTGTAGGTATACACAATGGTCGCAGTCATCCTAGGGAATTTGTATCTGTACATGATGCATTTCGGTTCCTCTTTCTCGGTCCCCTCTCCCTCCTTCAACCCTGTTCTCCCTCTCCACCTACAAAGCTTTGTTTCTGCCTTGTCCTTTTAGTGCTTGGCTCTGTGCTCATAATAATATGGGTTAGGACAGACTAGATGAGGCACTTTTTGCAATCAGTCCCAGACATCACCCTTTAATCTAAAATATACAAGAAGGCCCTTTGGGATCTGGGGAGATAGCTCAGCGGTCTAAGCACCTGCCTGGCAAGTGCAAAGGCCCAGGTTCACTCCCCAGTACCATACTGTGCAGGCTTCAGAATCCCCTGCAGGCCACTGAAACGGGGCGTGGCAGCACATGCCTGTAATCCCAGCACTGGGGGGGGGGGGTGACACAGGAGGATCACTACAAGTCTAAGCTGCAGAATGAGCCCTTGTATCAATAAAATTAAATGAATTATTTTTTTTTTTTTTTTTCGGAACGGGGGATTGAACTCACACCCTTGTGCTTGCCAGGGAAGCACTTATTCCACTGAGCCATCTCCCCAGCCCTGAAAAATTTTTTTAAAAGCCCCCTCAGAACAAGGACTTGGCCGATGGCTTGCAGTGCACCCTCCACTTTGTCTACTTTTGAGTGGAGGCTGTTGACCTGGCAGGCAGTGGTGTGGCTTTTGCAAGAACAGTCTGTAAACGCTTGGTGCTCCGACTGGGCTTCCTGTCGCAGCTGGCCCTGTGACGGCCTGATTCACCTTGTTTCTGTGGTGCTTTCTTGGGAAGAGATGAGTGAAGCTCAGCAAGGCAGGGCGTCACTTTTGTCCTTGCCTGCCTGAGAATCTCTGAACATAGCCACTGTGACAGGATTATTTTTTTTTAAATGGAGAGAAAAATATTTGAAAAAAATGTCAAGAAAGTGACTTTTTCCATAACTTTAGAAAATCTATATTCCACATTGCATACCACAGAGTGTCTACATCTATTGCAAGATCTACTTTCACCTTGAAAACCACACCTCTTGAGAGAGAAGATATTTTCTACTTACTATTGGGTGGAATTCTGACATTGCTCCTTCCTGGGACTGTGTAGCTGGTATTATATACATATATACTGTATACATTGTCTCAGTTACTTTTCTCTCCTTGCTGGAACAAAATACCTGACACCCAAAGTTAAGGAAAGGTTTATTAAGCTCACAGTTTGTGGAGGTTTCAGTCCATACTCGGCTGGCTCCAAGGCAGAGTGGCACATGGCAGAGGGCAGCAGTTCATGGAGGCGGAAAACAGCAAAGAGCAAAGGGAGGAGCAGCAGCTAAGGAGCCTGTCTCTCCTCCCCCTGTTGTATTTAGGCTGTCAACCCCAGGATGGGGGTAGCACTCACACCCATAATCCCAGCATTGGATCATAAATTAATCACAAACTCTAGAGGCCAGCACTAATGACTGCATGAGACCTTGGGGGGACGACTAGACACATAACATGTAGAGTGTGTGTATGCCTGCGTGTGTGTGCGCGCGCGCGTGTACAAGTGTGTGTTGGTTACTTTTCTCATTGTTGAGACAAAATACCTGATACTTGGAGTGAAGGAAGGAAAGGTTTACTTAGCTCACAGTTTGTGGTGGTTTCAGTCCATAATCAGCAGGCTCCAAGGCAGAGCAGCCCTTGCACAAGGACAGCCCTTGAGGGCAGCAGAAGAGAGCAAAGGCTGCAGGAGCCAAAGGAGGGAGGGAAGCAAGCCTCTCTTCCTCCCTTACCCTCGCCCCCCCACCGGAGCCCTCTTCTTCCACAAGCTCAGGATGTTTACAAAGTGAGGCCCTTGGGGCCCTGAGTCAAACTTCTAAACTTCTCCAGTTGACACAATGTATCAATCAGTACAGCATTTGTGTATATAACAGACCTTGATCTTTAGAAAATGTTTGGTCACCTAACCTGGTAAATATTTTTTATAGGATCAAAAGCAAATTGGATCAAGGAGGAGTGATTCAAGATTTTATTAATGCCCTGGAACAACTCTCTAATCCTGATATGCTTTTTAAGGTAAGAGAACAGCTTTTGACACATGAAATAACTTACACCAGGCATGGTTGGCATATCTGTGTGATCCCAACACTTGGGAGCCTGAGGCAGGATTACCACCACAAGTTTGAGGCCAGCCTGCACTACAAAGCAAGATCCCGTCTCAGAATACTTAGCAAAAAAAAAAAAAAAAAAAAGGGGCATGATTCTTGATTTCTTTGTTTTTCATTCTATGTATGTATATATGTATCTGTTTCTTATTTTGTACAGGACTGGGTTGCTGATATAAAAGAAGAACTAGGAAAAAGCCCTGTCAATAAAAGAAATATTGAACAATTGTATGAAAAGATGTATGCGGCCTTGGGCGACCCGCAGGCTCCAGGAGTGGGGCCCTTCAGAAGGAGGTTTATTCAGGTAAGGACAGCTGCCCTGCCTCTGCGTAGCAGAAGCGCTGCGAAGATCCTTGTGTTCATTTGAGCGCTTGCTAATAATCTGACCGTAAAATGTCTGCTGACCCTGTAAGTGAGGTGCTGCTAAGGTGTGTTCCAGTCAGATAGCAGCAGATAGGTCAGTAGGCGAGAGCTGCAGGTTTTATTACATTCTCTTGTTAATGTTCAGATTCTTAGATCTGAAGGTCACTCGTGGTTTAGTACTTTTAATTCTGAGAATGACCTCAATATTGGATCATGAAAATACATCAGTTTGAGAACATTTTGCTCACCGCCGAGTCGCCCCACGCCCATTCACGGCCCCCGCCGGCCACTGAGTTACCTCTGCCTCGTCGGGCTCGTCCACACTTTTCACGTGTAAGAGCTCACACAGCGCGTCTGGCTTATTTCTTTTAGCATAATGTGTCCAGAGTTCAGCCACATGGTAGCGTGGATCGGCACGCAGTTCCTTGGGCTGTGCGTATTCTCCCACTCTGGACGTACCGTATTTCCTTTATCCTTTCATCCGCTGATGAACTTCGGGGTATTTCTGCTTTTTAGCTCGTAATAGTGCCACACGTGCCGCATGTGTGGAGAGGCATTTTAAGTTCCTGTTACAGTAGAAAATCACTGTAGTCTTTAACTGTTCCTCTCATCTCCTGACTTACACTTCCAGCCAGGGCTTTTATTTTGTTCCTTATGTTTAATAATTACTATACTGGCTACTGTGAAATAATAGCCATCTTCATTGGTTAGATAATTTTGATAAGTCAAAATTGCTTTTAGTGGATTATTCCTAGTGGCAGTAGGTTGAGTTCTTACAGTTAGGAGTGCAGGAAGACATGGGGTATGGTGGCCTAAATGTGACTGGGGACACTTTGAATGTGCAGCTAGCACTGTAGGTTCCTGTTGTTGCTATATTTGGCCTTGTATCATGCTATATGTGTGCTGCTAGATCTTGGATATGCAAGGCTCTCAGAACAGAAACTAATTAAATGAAGTGGTAAATTGTACTTAAAACTGATAGACTAGCATTTATAAAGTTATACAATTTTGATTTTGGAGAGGTGTCACTTTTCTGTGTTTTTGCTGAGCCAGTGGCCCACGCTCTGCACACAGGCCCAGTCACACCAGTCTCTTGTCACCAGAACTCGCATGTGCTGTCGTAGTGCAGAGGCAGCACCAGATCGGGCCTACCCAGCTGGGCCTGGGGGCAGCACCCACCAATATGTTGTTTATGAAAGCCAGCCGTGGGCTGGATGTGAGTTATGGGCCAGAAAAGCTAGAGCTGAGAAGCAGGGCACTTCGGAGCACTGAGCGGGCGCTAGGCCCAGGGCAGCCCGGAGCAGGTTGGGCTCAGCACTCCTGCCCAGTAGCCTGCTGCCTCGGCCCTCAGGCCCCGGCTCCCACCAGACTGCAGATGGCCTCAGGGAAGACCTGGTGGCCTCCAGTGAAGACTGCACCTCGTCCCGTTGAGTTCATAGCCACCTCCTTTCTCTGCCTGCTGTACATCAGAAACTGTACCCTAAGAGTGTCGCCGCACAGCCCGCCCCTCCTCCTGGCGGCTGCTGGGCACAGCTGCGCTTGGCCCTTGCCTGCCCCAAGACAGCAGCACGGTGGCGGAAATGCTCCATCATTCCTCCCTGCAAGGCATGGGATGTTTTGGGGATTGATTTTCTTGTACTTTGAAAACAAAAGTCGGGGCTGGAGAGATGGCTCAGTGGTCTAAAGCACCTACTTGGAAC